GAATAAAGACTTTTTTTTTTTTTTTTTTAACACATCTGTTTTCATCAGGTCAGTCTTGGCATCAAATGGCCACATTCTCCTTTTAAAGAACAGCGTCCTGCATAACACGTGAAAGCATGTGTTCGATAACTGCACTCCTTGCTCTACGCTTTGCATGGCAATAATGGTGGCTACAGCCGAAACGCCAGCTGCTTTGCTCCCTCTGTAACTTGTACACAGTCCTAGGGAGCGTTGCTGCCAAAGCGATCATGTGATTTATTGACTCTCCACTGGGACAAGAGGGAAAACAGATACAACTTTGTGATTTTATTATAAGGAGGCTGGGTTAATATTTCGAGGTAAAGCAAGCTACTATACCGAGTTCAAACATCTGAAGAGGGAGGTTAAGAAATCCTGAGTGTGGGGTGTAAGGATTATTCTGTCCTGGGGCAGTGCAGACGTCGTCTGAGGCGGGGAGCAGGAGAAGAAAGGAGACATTGTGACCCAGCTCCAACACCTCCTGTGTATACAGACGGAAGTGCTTAGCCTACAGAGGGACACGCGCAGGGAAAGGAACGGGAGAGAATTACAACATGGCACTTATACAAACAACACTCCCAATGATATAAAACATTAAAGAAAATTTGCACGACATCAAGCTCTGAATTTTTATAAAACATAAATATTAGGGGGCTTAAATGTGGGTTAATGTCACTACATAAAATACAGATTTAAAGCTGCAATGTTCCACGTTAAAAAACCCAATGCGCACACATAAACAACCCCCCCCACCCCGAAAACAACATTTATGTTTCTTATTAGGCAGAAAATGATCACATGCCATGCGCTTTTCAAGATTATGATTGTATAATTATGTGAAAACATGAAAATGGATTCAATTAAAAACCTTTAAGATTCAATTTAGAGTCGGTTAAGAGAAATATGCAGCTTTCCCCCAACAGGGCACTGAAAAGATTTAACAAGTGCTGCAGCAAGAGAAAAGGCACATGTAGTGGGTGGCTACAGGCTTTTCTGCAACCACGATGTAAAGCACTGTCTTTGCCCTGCAATTGTCTGGACCGTGACTTGGCCTCCGAGGTACTGCTGCAATCGAAGTAAGGGCTGCAAATAATATTTCCCAAGTAGATGGGGTGAATCTAAAATCAAGGTCCCTAATTCGGAAATAAGGTCCTGATTGAGCAAAACATGAAGCTGCATGTTTAATTTTCAAAGATGTGCTTATGCATGTCATGGGCTGGTGGTGGACTTAAGCCTGGCATGGCTGAGTGGAGGCACTCAGGACAAACTGCATGCTGACTAACACCATCTGTGTATGTCAGTGATTGCAGCAGGACCCCACAGTTTGTAACTAAAGTGACCTGGCGTGGAGGCTGCTAATCTAACCCTGAACAAGGATGCATTAGCATGGAGACCTGCATTGAATGCCCCTGAAAATCAGTGCGGCTGGCAACGTGTCAGCATACAAACAGTGTCTTGCATGGCTCTTGCTTGGATTCTGCCTGGGCAGAGCAAGACTGCACTGGTAGGTTTTACATCTGAGCCAGGCCTAAGCACAGCTCTTCAAAATGAAGCAAGTTTCACTGAAAACGGGGAATGTGGTTCTCATTTGCCCAGGGGCCACGTTACACCTCTCGAGCAGTGTGAACAGGACTTGCAAGGAGTGCAAAGCTGATTCACCGCTTCTTCTAGCCCTTCTTCTAGCAGTGGAGGGGTATGGACATCTGATCCAAGTGAGTTATCAGACTGCTGGGACTTACCCTGGAAGGTGGTGGCTATGTGTGCATGAGGTTACCCAGTGCTAAGTGAGCAGCTTCCCCTGCAATGGATCGCTTCCCACGGGCTAAGTGAGGCACACAAATAATTACTGAGCATCTGCTGCTCGGCAGCAAGTTTTCAGCCTCTCTGAACTCACTTAAATTTGATTGTTTGCTCATAACCTCAGAGGGCCTTCCCGCGACATCCTGGCCCCATGCAAGTCAACAGGAATTTTGCTGTTGACTCCAGTGGAGCTGGGATTTCAGACACTGCAGGGAAGCTGGAACCTGCTCCCACCTACCATGTCCTTGGTCAGGTGATGGAGGACTGTAGTCTTCAGGACTTTCAGTCTGGAAGACTGGAGCTACATTTTCAGAAGCACTAACTTTGCACAGGGTGGGAGAGGATTAATAGTTTCACGCTGGAGTGGGCGTTTTCAACAGGCCACCATATCTGCACTTCCAGGACCGGCAGGTGCCAGGGTTTGCAGGAACATGCAAATACCTACTGGTCTTGGCTGGGGAAAAGTGCTTCCAAACTACCTGATGTGCATGAAAAGAGTTTCTATACATGTATGTCTGGTTGCCTATTGAATAGTTTTATTCCTATACCTTCATAAATCTGGAAAAGACTCTTTCCTGAAGAAGCTTTTCCCATCATACAAAGTAGCCTTAACTAAACTTCTCTTACTTTTCTTTTGCAACAATAACAGTTTATCCCTTGTAGAAATATATAGGTTTTTAGCCTTCGTACAATTTCCCAAGCAGCAGCTTTTTTTTTTTTTAAAAAAAGTGATAAATACCACCAAGCATAATACCTGGTGTAGAGGTAGATTGATCTGTTTAAGGAGTGCTTTCACTGCCATCTGGAGCTCATAGAAGAACAATTGAGTAGGGCAGTCTGATGCATGATCCATACTTTCCACAGATTCTGAGCCAGAAAAGGTTTGGATCCATTCCCACTCATCTCTGTATGTTGAGTCAAGTTAAAATTAGAAATAAAACAAAAGTTCAGTGCGCAAGGAAGAATTTTACTGTACGTGCATTTGGGGTCTGCTGACGGTTTTCTGCTGACCTTCATATAGTAAAATGTTCTAAAATTATCCAGTCCTGGTCGTTTGTAGTAAAACATCCAATTTTGAAAAGCATCCTATTTAATTTCTCTAACACGTGTACATCAAGTTGAACACTCTTGCTAGCATCTGAGAATCACCACGTTTCCCTTTGAAATATTTCAGAAAGCCTTTTTTCTTCCCCCAAACATGCACTCCAGTCTGCACCTTCTACTACCTTGTTAAAAGCAGATACTAGCTGGACTGTAGTGGTATACAATGATGATTTCAATTTTCTCTCTGCCTCCTTTCCTCCCCCTCTCTGGTTAGATTTCAACCCTAGATCCGATAAACACAGGAATTTTCAAACCCAGGGTCTAGTTTTCCATCTCTGACAGCAGCCAGATGCTTCAGAGGAAGGTGCACAAAATCTCACAATAGGAGGGATAATAGATGTGAGGATAACCTACCCCCACATAAAGGGCTGGTCCTAATCCTTAGCAGTTTGAGGTTGCTTTAAACCCTGAGGCATGAGGTTTTATATTGCTTCCAAAATTGTTGTTAGCCTTTACTACTATGCTCTGGATATTTCTGTTATCCACATAAATATCCAGCTGCTCTCTGAACTGCACCATATTCTCAGCTGGTTGATGGACTCACATGCAATTAAGAAAAGAAAAGAAAATACGCTGCCCCATGCACGAGATCTTGGCAGTCTCAACCGGAAAAAACAAAACCCCATACCATCCCAAAGCATGGCAGTTCCAGAGCAGGCAGCATTGGTTTGAGCATGAGCTTGCAGTCCTCATGTAGCTGATATATTTTTTTTTTTAGGGACAGGAAGAGGCTAGATACAATGAAGGAATCACTGTGCAGAGGGTTCAGTCTCCTGTAAGCCTACATAACACATGCACAGGCCCTGATCCAGTGCCCCTGGCAAGTCAGTAGAAAAACTGTCGCTGAACTCACTGGGTGCTGGACTACATCTGTGGGCATGGATAGCTTAGTTGCTCTGGAGAACCCCTGCACTGAATGCAGACTCCCTAGATCATGGTGTTAGGGCTTGAGGGATATCCTTGGGAAGTGGGTGAGATTTCTGACCTGTGTGGGCTTTGGATGAAGCCCCAAATGTATTGGAGGGATGGACATGAACACATGCACATTTGAAACCGGTAATGATCTCATTAGTATGCAGCTTGCACTAAACTGTGACAATAATATACCAGTGCAGCCAACAGCAGACTGACTGGGGTTACACGGCTATGGCAGAGAGGAGAATTTGACCCTTGGTTGGAATGAGCAGACTGCCAACCTGGCAGACTGCGGATAAGCAATGTGCAGTACAGTTCAGAAATAAGTAAATAATAGACTCCAAGGGCGCTAAACTCCCTGGTGTTGATCCAGAAGATCATGTAAGTGCATGCTCACTTTTAAGCACGAGTCGTTCTGCTGACTTTGATGCTTTGGTGCTCAAATGCCTCGTTAGTTCACAGGCCGGTGTCTCAGTGCCTTGCAGGATGTCAGTCTCCGAGTTCACGTTTCACCTATTTAATTCTATACAATTCTTGACAACACTATGATGATGATAAGTATTAACATTTAGTCATCTGCATCTTCTGGTTCTATTTATATTGTGGATTTCACACGGGGTTCCCACACCAACAGGACAGTTTTACACACTTGGGATTAACATGATTTCAATTCAAGCAACTGCTTCAGGCTTACTGGAAAAAAAAAAAAGGCACTTACTTGGAAACGTTGCTGTTGTCTCGTATTTTAACATGACACAGGATGTTGGGCAACTTTTGCAGGACAAGAACTTTGATTTGATCGACAGAGCTGCAGAGTTTAAGGTAACCCAGGTACAAGCCGGGAGGGAGGCGCTGCTGACTTCTTCTGTGATAGGAAAGTGTGTCCTGTTTGAAGAGAGACATTCCTACATAAAAATATGATTTTTTTTCCCACACAAGGGGAAGGGTCTGGAATAAAAAAGCAACTAATGGCTTTTACAGCAGGCCAATTCAGCAAAGCAAATCCCTCTTCGGAGTGGAGTTGTTCTACTTGATGCCCCAGGGCAACTGGTCCATGAGGTCAAGCACACATGTAAATGTTTCACTGGATGAGATGCTGAGAGAGCTCCACCACTTGGAAACAACCGTCCTTTGAAACAACTATTCACCTGATACAAGAAGTAGGTTGCAGTGTTGAGACTGTGTTTGCTGAGCTGTGCTCTGGGTAAAGCATCTAGGGAACTTGTTCTACATGGTTCTCTGTGTGCATCAGTAATGAAGGACATAAAGTTTAGCAGAGAGCAAAATTTACTGTCAAGTGACTGGCTGCATTTTCAATACAATGGTCTTTGTCATCAGAAAGAGCTTAGAAAGAATTGGCACTGAGGGTCTGTGTACTGAAGCCACGAGACATTTACTGGGCTATTTATAGCTTTCCCCAAGGACTGTTTTTATAAATGAAGTTGACTGCCATCCAGAGTAATGTGTGCCTTTGCAACGGGTGAGGATTAAGCCACCTGGCTTTATGCCTTCACCCTTGGAACCATCAAATTATCTGCCAGTGCTATGCTTGGCTCTCACCGATGCAATTAGATCTTCAGTTTCACAAGCACTTCATGAACAAAATACCCACATGACGATTAAACAAGTAACACAAGAAAGGGTGGGCATTAGATAGGAATGTGTAAGCCATTAGGGCAAAAAAATTTTCCACCAGGATCTCTGTGGAAACTTGATCAGACTTGTATTTGGGGTTTCCTAATATAAAACTTCTGCCCAGATGGGGATTTTTCTGCACCTATAACACATTTTAAAGCCGTAAGTCTAGTGTAGGCCAGGTATATTTTATTACCGCTTGGAAATCTTTTAACTTACCCCAAACTCTAACCCGATTACCTGTCAGTTTCTGGCACCTGACAGCAGAGAAGAAAGTGATGCTAATTAGCCACAGCAGTCAATATCTAATTGAACTAACGAGAGAGGCAAGGCAGTGACTTGGTTTGAAGCATTTCTAATGACTCTTGCGATCTGTTAGGTTTGGAGATCAGAGATATTTTGAGATGCATCCTACTGTCAGAAACTTCTATTGATTTTGATCTGATTTATGTGCATAATACAATAGAAGGAAGAATCTCTAATAGACATGATTCTGCCCAGTGCTGAGGACTCCCCAAATCCCACTGATGTCAAATAAGAATCGAGTGTGCTAGGCACCCTCCAGGATTAGTCCATTATTCCAACATCAATCCAGCCAAGAAGCCTGTGAAGAATTTAATATGAAAATTAACGGGAGGATGGGTCAGTAATGAATTTAGGAGGGACTGATGGCAGTGGGAATTGGGAACTCTTAGCTCCTTAGAGCAACAGCCATTAAGTGAGGTTGTCAGATTTCAAAAGCAAACATGGTTTTCACAGTCAAAGTAGAAACTACTTATAGAGTGCAGAAAATAATAGGTGCCCCTGTAGGCACCTGGGGCTATCCTAGATAATTTAATGGAACATTGTGTTTTTTGCTATACACTTCTACAGCTAGGTTCCAAAAACCGACGGAAAAATGTATCATTCTCTAGCAGGTCTTTAAAGTCTAGATGTTCTATAGATTTTTATTCATACTAAAGGCCCAACCCAATGCCCACTGAAGGCAATGGACACCTTTACTCTCAGTGGGAGCCTGGCCATTGATTTTAATGGGCGCTGGATAAGGGCCTAATTCTAAAGAACTTTTCCATAAAGCAATGCTCAGTCATAGGCTTTTAAAAATTTAACAGCATAAAGTATGTGAAGCAAAGTGCTACCTGGATCGTTATGAGCAAGATGTCTAGTGCCGTTGGCTCCTCTGGAGTTGAAAGGGATTTCCTCTGGCTTTGCAGCTTGGATATCTGCATCCATTTGCCATTAAAAAATGAATAGAGAGTCTCCACTTCTCGTATTGTAACTATCAGTATATTGCCGTGTCTGTCTTTGATCGGTTCGTAATAAACTCTGCCCAAGTTGTGAGTTCCCAATAAATTCTAGAAAACAAATGGATCACGCAAAGGACAATATTAACCATCTTATGTGAGCAGAACGGCATTTTCCAGTGCACTGAATGGAAGCTTTGCTCTGTTCCCATCACAGTCAGCCTGAACTTTGCCTTGGCTTTCCTGGGGGCTGAGTTCAGCCAATGCATAGGGTGGTTTGTTTGTTTTTTTTAAAATCCCACCCTCTCTCCACTTCACTCGGTGCAACGCAGCGGGCAATTCTGCCCTGGTTGTGTCTGCAAACTGCACGGAGAATCTGGGGAGCAGACCACTTGCCGGTGTAAATGGAGGCTAGTGGCAAATACCAGCCTGATGATTAGGAGCCGAATGTCTTCTTGAAGGACCAAACAGCAGTGTCACTGGCTTGTACAACCTGGAACAGAATTTCCATCTAGATGCAACAAGTCATGTGGCTGTCAGGTAGGAAGTTCAAAAGCATTCAGTGCTAGTCTCAATGCCGTCCCATTAGCTTCAATGGAGCTATGCTGGTTTATACTAGATATGCATCTTAACCTGGCTAGATCCCGACATGAAATGCAACAGGTGTCAAAGATGCAAAGGGAGAGGCCCAAAAGGTGGAATTTTCATGCTGGAAACGTAAGTTTTATATTGCTGATGGACATTATTCTTAGCAAGAAAAAAAGAGAGGACGTCCCATCCATGCTGAGCGCAGCTAACCGTGGAACTGAGATGAACAACGTCTCCTGACAGAAGGGAACTTGGAGAGGAATGGATCTAGCCTTTTCACTTTGCACACCAAAAGTATGTTTGATGAAAACAAACTAACAAGAGATCCTAACCAAATACAAGGGCCAAAGCTTTCCAGAAAAACGCCAATTAAAAAAAAACAAAACAAAAAACAAAGAGCAAAATGATAATCACCTTGGTCAAAATCCTCCTTCCTTTCTATAGCAAGATATTTGCTTGCTGGGGTGAGCACACTAACTTCAGTGACTAGCCTCCAAGGAGATTCCCAGATGTCTTAAAGAAAAATGCTTACCATTTAAAATATTTCCACTACTTTGGGAGTTTTCAAGAGATCTACAGTAAGCTGCTAGGGGGCAGGGGTTGTTTAAAATGAAAAACTGAATTGACAATGCAGCACATTGTATGTTTAGGGAAGTGCATAGCTGAACAA